ACTCAAAAAAATCCACCAATGTTCGTTGCTACAGTATTGTAATTTATAAAATACTCACCCACAGAATAGGAGCGAAGAGACCCTAGCCCATCTACTTTTGTAGTAGACGTTATGCTTCTTAAAAGGCGTCATGTCATCACTGGACAAAAAGCAATCGGAGTCATCTCCATCGAACTGTCTCTCCGCTTGGCTTAATAACAACGGTATACTCTCTGTCTGTAGACTTTTTTTCACCTAAACGTGACAAACAAAAATKCATATTTAAGCAGGAGTTGGCAATACCAGAGGGACTTACAAATGTATAATTATGTTTACTATGATTTCGATATACTGAATACTCACTCGTTTCATTTAAGTAAGATGTAGTCAATTTGTCAAAAATCGAAATAAACATTTTAATGAGCATATCAATGAATGGAATGCCGGCCGTCCATTTCACGGGAAATGTATAGTACACTATAGGTCACGTACATTAAAATGTAAATGTATAAAATAACAACTGAATACTGAAAACAATCGTTAAATATTTTTAATATTATTATTTATTACGAATTCAGAGCACAAAAATCAGAAAATTCGAGCTCGTACAGCCTGCAGTCCGTAATATCGTTTTACTATTTGTACGAATTGTACGAGTTAGATATCTGATTAGGCGTATCACGTTAAGCGCCGGACTCGTTGATATCAAACTTAATATCGCGGATTTATACTGTTTTTACCATTGTTTTATATGTCTATGGTTTATTGGTTTATACTGGATTTGAAACGTTTGGGAGGAAGTTGCAGGGGGATCACGTGAGACCGTGAGAGAGCTGGTGTAAAAAGGGGGAATAGTAATAGCACAAAATAATTATGAAAAATGTATTTGAATTTAAAAAAAAATTTTTAAATGTTTTTCATATATTCTGTGGTAATAGTACGTTGTACGTGTCACGTGAGTTAGTCTAGCGCAGCGTGGCTTACCACATGCATATTATTCCTTCAAACATCAAACTTATACAAGCAAAGATTAGGTATATGAAAAWAATAAATATTAATCTGTGTGTAGTGTGTATAGTAATGTTCTAGCAATTAATAGCGTAATATTATATATTTGTATAATTGTTCTGTGATGGTAGTCCGTGCATTTGGTAAATGACTTATCATTGAATTATAGGTGGCGCTAGATTAATATCATGTACGATTCCCCCTTACCTACACCTCCCTCGAGTACACTTTAACAGTTTACGATGTTTACATGACAAAATACTGAAATAGAATAGATATATTTTGTCATGGATAGTCCACTAGTCCATGCTGAATGTATAATTATACCCGAGTAGGCCATCGCTGAACTGAAGAATTATTCTGAAAACTGAAAGCCGCAGATATCTTAAGAAAATATTAAACTGTAATCGATTGGCTAGAAAAAAGTTGCGACCTTCATATTATAGATATTTTTCGACCAAACCAGACCTCACCATAAAACTAATTGTAGCAGTGACGTTGCTAGGGGGGAGTGGAGCTGCAGGCCTGCAGCACCCCTCCACCGATATAATAAGAAAATTTAAAAATTATTTTTATGGTCCATGAATACCTGCTCAATTTTAAAATTTATAAAATTATGCTAGAATGACACTATGTCTCCAATTATAACCGTTTTTCAAATTCAATTATTTATCTTTGAATTATATATAATAATATTTGACAAACATAACATATCCATTACAATGACACGTTTGACAACTACCTACTGTGAAGTAGGACGGTACCCACTTATCCACTTTTTTCGTTTCTTTTTCCAGATGCTATTGAAAACTGCTAGATATTTTAAATTTTACCTCTTAAAAGTACCAAATAGATTCACTTCCTCACCAGAAAAAATATTGAAGTTGAAAATCGAAGCATTATTTCAACTACTTATGGTATACGGTATACACAAACGCTCACTCAAAAACAACCAGATAATTATAGTCAACATGTTTATTGGTCTGCTAAAAATCTAAAATAAGATTACCTATTGGATTTATTTTTTGATTTCAGAAAAAAATTACACATTTCATACTAAAAGAAAATTAATTGATTCAGTGGTAATTCGATTAGGAAAGGATAAATTAAATAAATCTTCTACTTAATAATAAATTATATTATTAATTTAATTTATTCCATGGTACCCAGTGGCGCCAAAATATATATTTATCTATGTTAATTGTCATAGGTGATTTTACTGATTTTAGCAAGTAGGAGGGTTACCTTTGTGCTTTGTCATTCTAATTATTATAATAATATATTATGATAATTAATTTTATTTATTATATTACAGTTAATTGTGARCTAAAAGTCGATAATATTACATAGAAACTATCCTTCGTGCATTTATGAGCATTTTGTAAAATCTTGGGTTTGGCGAGCCTCTATTATCGTGGTTTAATTTCTATTTGAGAGGAGACAACTTGTCAAGATCAATGGTTTCTGTTCCAGCCCAATTATTGTAATCTCTGGTGTACCTCAAAGCGGGCATCTATTTCCCGTTCTGATTGGACTTTTTGGTATCGGCGTCAAAGATGTGAAYCTGTGATACAGCACAGTGAACTTTTTTTGTTTGCTGATGATATCAAAAATTTTCTCCGTCTATTAGGACCGCTGATGATGCTGTTGCTCATTGGGCTCGGAGCTTAATATACCTAAATGTCATAGGTACCATGACTTATACTCGTTCTTACGAACATGTCACGTTTWCAAATTACATACACCCAGGGTTGGGCAAGATACTCAAAAAGGAGTATCGGGGTACCAGATACAAGATACTTTACTTTGGAGTATAGTACATACTAGATATACTTGACTTTGGAGTATCGCGATACTAGATACATTTTAATAAAATTAGTCACTGGATTTTTAAAAACTTTGCTGATGGGCACTTCATTGAGTAATTAGAATGACCAATAAAATAATGAAAATTGAMACTTATTCATTAATAATACATTAGTAATAAAACAAAATAAAACACCTATTTTATCGCGAAAGGTATACTATAATGTAGTAATATAACTATATTTTATGATTTATCGGTATTGGGTTGAAAAATTATTTCCAACAACCTACAATATTAAATAAAAATATTGATTTCTACATTATTAATTATTATTTTGATAATAAAGTCAGAATTGTATCTTATATCGCATCATAAATTATTTTATGAAATACTAAATACGTACATTGACTAAAAAGTAAAAATGTATCGCAACACAAGATATAATGGTATCTAAAATACTTGTATAAAAGATAACTGCCCAACCTTGGATACCTAGACTATTAATGACATCGCGCTAATCAGCCAGGTGACTGTGTTATGGACCTTGGTATAACTTTTAATCGATCGCTTACTTTTTGTTCTCAAATTGAGAAAACTGCTTGTAAGGCTTTGAAGCTTCTCGATTTTGTAAAAAGAATTTCGGCTGAATTTAAACCGTCCAGTTCTCTTAAGACTTTATATTGATCTTTCGTTCGGTCTGTATCGAAGTATATGTTAATTATTTAGGATCCGAGAATATTTGAAGGTAGCAGTCAACTGGAAAGAGTTCAGAGTAAATTTTTGAAATTTGCCGCTCTCGCATTACACTTGAGTACGCATCTCACGAGTATCAACCTGTGTTGCAGTTTCTCCATTTGTCTACCCTATGTGACAGGAGGAAACAAGYTAATCTTACATTTCTTCTTAAACTTATGAATGGCTTAGTCGATTCCCCATGCCCTCCTATATAAACTTAATTTCAGAGTTGACAAGTTTCTATTCCAAAATTCCGGATACTCTTTCTCTTTCCAAATTCCTTTTAGCTGCTGTAACTATCTAACAAGTCGTMCTATTGTACATATGATGAAACTGGCCAATGAGGACCCACTATTCTTTAATACTTAATATTAAATTGTTGTCTATTTGTTCTTTATATCTTAACATTTGTGATTTTTCTCTAATTATTATGTACCATACAATATAATTATATTGTATATGGGCATGCCCCATATTTAATAATTAATAAATAAATACTTGATATATAGTAACTAGTAACAGTGGCGGCTTGAACTTTTTTTCCCTCGAATCACGTTTAATATTTTTACACCACCCACCCTAAAATATAGTTATTAGTTATTACTTATTATTGTACATAATCTGCTGAGTACACGTCATATTATATTTATTATTTATAATTTAATATTTAATTACCAACCTGCAAAAATGGTCCAATCTACCTTTTCCAACCATAAGACCTACCCACCCAACCACCCATTAATATATTTGTGAATCACGTGATTCAAATATAYTCCCTTCGAGCCGCCACTGACTAGTAAAGTAATTATAAGAAATAGATGAGTGTCAAAATTGTATGTGGAGGTATCTAATACATTGGTAAAATCTTAAACTTTGACGCCACTGGTGGCACCTACCTCATTAGAACTTTATTTGTGGCGATTAAGTAGTAACTATCATAACTATTGCAATATAGTGACAGAGTTCAAGATGTAGGCAGAATGATGATAGTGAAAAATTGTGACCATATGACTGAATATTGTGATCTGTATTATTTAGGTAACAATTAATATATATATWTTTTTTATAAAAATATAATTTAATATTTAGTATAGCCAGTCAGGCAATACAATTTAGATTTATATGTGTATGTTAATAATTTGTCTGTAGTTAGTACTGACTAGATAAAATACAAATTATTTTAAGACTATGTTAAATTCAAAACTAAGTTTTAAAACCATAAGGCGAGGAATGAATTTTTATTACTTAATAATTTTAATTTTGTACTGACATTAATCCATTTATTTGTCTATCATACTTAATATATAATTAATAATTATTAATACAACCATTATTCAGAATATCAATTATTAAACTTACATAGGTAAAATGTATATTTTAATATATGTTTTGAATAAAAAGTTATCAATAAAAAATATTGTATTTTATTTAGAATTATTAGTAATTTTACTACTAAATTATTATAGGCAAATCTATTTTTCAAGGGCAAATTTTTGTTTAGCATGACCAAACCAATGTAGTCTGCACTGTGTAGTAAAACAGACAATTATAATGGGGTAGATATTAATACATGTTAATTTTATTCTCGATGGCTTCAGAAATCAATTAGGCAAGTATCAACAGTTATACTGCAGAACACATTTGTGAAAAGAAACTACAGGAGTATAGGCTAAGGTTAAGACAACAGACTGAATTATGATGAAGTTTGAGACAGATGATAGATATAGATTAATAAATAATAGAATTAATGAATTTTATTTTTTTAATATGAACACTATTAAAAATTTAATAATTTATTTTTTTATTTTTGCTTTGTTTTTGTCACCTTCTTCATCATCTTCATCATCGTCATCATCATCATCTTCTTCTGAAGAGTAATCATCATCATCATCATCATCATCATCATCATCAACATCATCACTATATTCAGCTATTAAAATAAGATTTTAAAATATATTTTTGTTATTAAATGTAAATAATATTATTAATATTAAATACCTTCATCATAAGTATATCCTCCATAGTTTCCTCCAGAACTTCCAGCTCCATAAGCATAAGAATCATCATCATCATCATCATCTCCTTCTTCATATGTTTGTCGGCCATATTTATGATTACGAGCTATAAGCATAAATATTTATAGTTATTAAAAATACCTAATATTACATTTCATTTAATAGAAAGAAAAATAGATTATAACWCATGAACAGAGTTGGAACAAATAAAAACTGGCTAAAACCATTAAAATAAAAAAAAGCAAATATAACATTCAACATTTTGAACCTTGCCACATTTATCGATTAGTATCAGTGMGTAAAAAATKTAGATATCCATCCTATTTAATATTTAAGATTCAATAATATATCYATAAAAAATACACTTATAAACTGCTAAGTCCAAYAATTGACGAATAATCATCAATTAAAATATAAATAGAATCAGTGATGTTGGACTATTACTTTTGTTCAAAAATTGTTTAAGCTATAATATTTGTTGGGGAACTAACTTGGTTTAGTAGCTAAGGTCAATCATCGGTTAAAATAGGAGTTAAAATTTTTGGGGGGCCAGAGAAAGGCAAGACGTGATCCTTGGAGGGGGTAAACTGTCCACCCTTGATACCATTCCTGACTGTTTCCAAGTWAATTTATAAATTACATTAATACCAGAACAAAAACAGTATTGAAAAAATACAACAGAGGAAAACAATTAATATTTTTAAGAATCTTGAAATTGAAAATACATGAATATTAATTTTTAGTTATACCAAATGATACGGTGTAAAATKTTCTATAAAATCAATGTAAATCATGAAAATGCTAATAAATTGAGATTCAGTTGATTTATAAGGTTAAAAAAATTGTATGTTTTTTAAAGTATCTATAAATACTTATAGATAATAATTTTTTTATTTATACTCAAATACTATTTTACTAAGAATCCAAATATTTTTAAAATTAGGTAGTTGTACTTGAATCTGTAAAAAGTATTTTTTACAAAACTGAATTTAAGCTAATAAACAAAATGTGATTAAGCATCAATTCTGATTTARACATSGGTAATTATTAATATTAAAAACAAACTCACTAACTAATGAAAATAAAAAGTATGTTAGTATACTTACAAGATAATGATAGATCACTGACTTCAGCTGTTGGATAAGAACACTTTGGACATGGATAATTTCTATCTTTTTCAGAATACTTGAAACGTTTACATCTAATGTGTTCATCACAGAAACATACCTTACACTTCAAACAACTGTACTGTCCTAATTTATTGCATGATTGGCCTGTAATTTATTGAAAAAAATATAGATTAATATTTWTGTCTTGAAATTTGTATAAAAATTAATTTTAATAAATTAACCACCATAAAAATGAGACCACTTGTTGAATTTTTAAGGAGTTTGAAATAGGAAATTTTAAGCACTAATTCAAT